CTTAACCTTATCATACAATGTAGTACTTCACTCATCCATGTAAAGTGAGGAAAAAACGCTTTTAAATTTGAACAAATACATGCACTTGGGGAATAAGTGCTCTTTTTTACTGAGCTTGCAGATGTAATAAATTACAACTTGTAGATAAGTAAGGATTTATGGGTGGGGTAGGGCCGGGGTGATTATAAGACTTTTCAGCATAATCATCTAATGCTTGTATTATACAGATTTGTCAGTCTGCTAAGAAATGAAAAATAACATTGGAACTCTAGCATAACATTTAAAATAGGCAAAATTGTATTGGAAAAGCATACCATTCAATAATTCAATGTAATGACCTCTGCTATTCAAATCATAATTCATATTAATACTAAACATATCTTCATATTCATGGATTTTTAATATAGACTATAAAGTAGGAGAATATCACCAGTCTAAGGCACTTTTGAGAGCTCAGATATTTAGGGTTAATAATATTGGACTTGAAGCCTTGCTAACGCACGAAGAGAAATGGATAATCACAGCAGTGACATTTGCTCCCAACTTGAACACAGGATTTCATCAACATACATTCATCAAACAAACACACTAATGTGACTTGGGCACTAAGTTTTATCTATCTAAGTCAAAAATAGCAAAAAAAAAAAAAAAAGTCGGTGACGATTCTGATGAATCATATCTATCAGAAGGTTAAATACTCAATAGTGTCTACCAAACCACCCTTAAGTTATCACCATGCATGTCAGATACATGACAGCACTGCAGGGTATAATCTACCAATCTACATAAAAGCAAAAGTCCAACTAATAGTTTCTACAACCATACTCAGAATCATAGTGCTTATATTTGCAAACTAACAACAAAATGCATGCATAATTTATAATACAGTGACGTTTTGTCTGTTAGAACAATAAATGTTGACATGCCAGAAGAGATAGTACCGTAAAATCTGTATTAGAAGCCGCATCCCTAATAGAAGTCGCACCCATTCTTTTTGAATAATTTAGAATAAACAAGCAGCCTATCGGCTGAGATAGCTCCGCTGTTAGCAATGCACATTTCAATTAAAGAACTGAAGACATCATTAGAAAATGAACAATATGAATAGTATCAAAGCAATCGGACTTACGGTTTTTAACAAAAATTCGAAAATATCACTTTTTACCAAAAATGACAAAAATATTCACCAAAATTAGAGAATTAAAGATATCATTACAAAATGAACAAATCTGAGAGAGGTTCACATGTAGTACCTATATATGTAATATCAAAGCAATTGGACTTGCGGTTTTTAACAAGAAGTCGAAAATATCACTTTTTACCAAAAATGACAAAAATATTCACCAAAATTAGAGAATTGAAGATATCAACATGAAATGAACAAACCTAAGAGAGGTCTACCCAAGGTACATATACACCAAGTATCAAAGCATTCAGGCTTGTAGTTTTCAAGAAGAAGTCGAAAAAGTAAAACATTGACACGGACGACGACGACGGACGACACCGGACAATCACTCATATGATAAGCTCCGCTCGACAAAGTCGACAGCGGAGCTAAAAATTCATCATTTCTCATATGTGTACATGCTCTAATAGAAGCCGCATCCCCTCTGTTGCATGTACCATTTTAATAGAAGCCGCGGCTTCTAATACAGATTTTACAGTATGTAATGAACAGAAATATTTGAAATATATTGCAGAAAATATAACAAGTATTCAGATCAAATTTCAAGTAATTAACATGCGACTGCATCAAAACACAAGTGGTTTTGGGGGCATTGACACTTCTCCCTCAAGTGGAATGACACAAACCAAGTTCTGACAAAATCAACAAAGATATGTCTGGCTACACTGTTTAGAGGTTGCATGTAACCCCTGCAGGCCAAAGTTCATCAATACTGCAAGAAAGGTAATAGTGTATGCATTATGTTACATCTAAGAACTCATCCCTGTGAAGATTTGAAATAATTGTTGTTCACGTGGTTGTAATATCCGCAACAGAGTAGAGCAGGAAACTTGAGTTCTCAAATAACAAAGTCATTTTCATGCGTTGTATCTGTATCACCCATCAAATTAAAAGAAAAGTCCTTTTGCCACCATCAAAACATAGTCAAAGAAATGTGCTGCTCATAGAATATTTACAGTCAAAGACTGACAGCAAAGGAATACTAGGTATGGCAGGATATACTAGTCACCAATTAGAAAGGTCACAACAAGTATAGGACATATCTTCATGTACATTCAAGTGCTGATCAAATTTAATGATAGGCAAAAACCAACTGCAATGGCCGGAACAGATGGGAACAAACCAATTATCCAGGAGACTATTACCAGCAGAGAAACATTCTTTTATTAGAGCTGACAAGATTATTTTAGTCCAAAACGGTGACTTAGTGAAGCCACAACAAAAACCTTGAGGAAACCAGAATGAATAAGATATGAAGGCTTTTTCTGTATGGTTATGTTTGATTGGACTTTTGTGTTACTTTATAACAAGAAAATGTTTGAAAATAAGAATTCAGAATGAAGCAGTTAGCGAATATGATAATACATTATCCATTGATAAGCCAAACTCGCCAATGATAATGGGATGGATATTTTTGGAAAAATATATCTGCTATTTGTGTATTTGGTTGAAGGAACAGACTGTGTGAAACAGTATACAAGCACAAAAAACTCTACGGAGGATGCAAAATAATCTAGGATGGTTTTAACTGCAGGAATTCCAAACCTAGTCACAAACTACTATTTGGGGGGTGATACCTAGCAAGTTTGTTTATGAACATCATTCACTGGTGAAAAAACAGTATTTACAATGGGCAAATCTTTTTTTAGGTTTCAATTCAAACATCTTTGGTTGAATGTTGATAATGTGGCACAGTGATCCCTGTCCTTGGTCGCTCAACCCAGCACAAGGTTAATACAACAATTTTAAGACTAAAGCTATAGGAGCAATGAGTGGTTTTTGTATGCATATCATGACGAAGCGTAATATTTAAACAGCGTACACACTGCCTCTAGTGCAAATTCACCTAATTTAATATTATTCTAGTACTGAAAACAAAAAGTAATGACCTCTAGAACAGTTTCACAAACTGTAAGCTTCAAGATAAAAACATGAACTATCAATATATCTTTTTAGCACTACCATCTACTTCTCTCACCTGCTAAATAAAAGTTCACCCTGCCCCCTCCTGCATAACAGCTTAAATTATGACTAATAATTTCTTACAGAATCTGAAGATGACAGCAATGACACAAATTAATCAGAAATTTCACATGCAAGAAATGTTCACAACTTTGTCGATTTCACAAGACAAATTGCCAAAGTCAACTTTCTCCTTTCGTTTGAAGAAACCCAATGATATTTTCACTCCTACACAAATTTGAGATTATCCGAAAAATTTAAGTAAATTAAGTTACAGTACTTTCTGTTTGCCACTGTCATGGTATTAAAGCAACCAAGTGCCAACAGTCATTCTTGTCCCGCGTTACAAGTGTTGGTGCTCCTCCCATGGAAATGGGAGTGTAATCTCAAAGAGTTGAAGATGGCTTGATTCCCTTGCCACAGAAGACCTTGACTTCGAGATCAAATATTCATGCAACTTTTCAATTTCAACTAACATGCTTCTTACAACCATGATTTTACTGGATTGGTCAAAACTTGAAATCAAATTTTTATTTCCCCTAATACAGAGTTGACTTGCCTCTGAGAGTCCAGCGCAATAAAAATATGGAAACTCAAAATGGAGGAACACAGCTTGTTACCCAAATATAATATACTATCTCAGTTTCTTGAAAAGCAAACACTGTATTTGTCAGCAGGGTAAAATAAAACTGGCATTGGTTCATTGTTGTGAATGCTATACACAAAAGACCCCTCAATCACCATGATACTAGATTATAATATGGTTGGCTTTATAATACATTCATTGACTGAACCGAGCTTGGTAAGCAGGAATTGCATCAACCAATTTTTACTCCCTGAATTACCTAAGACATATTCAGTTTACTAGACAGTGACTGCACATGCAGCACATTGGTAACAATAACTAATATTTTTGTGTATCTCCTCAGAATAAAAAAAAAAAAATTGTTGTACACTTGAATGATAAATAAAAGCAAGGTCAAACATAATACTACAGAAAGTACAGTTTATGCAAAAATAAATAAATTTAAGAACCATGTATACTCATATACTAGAGACCAACAGCAAGTGATTCTCATTATACATAGAAAAGTAAACAATCAAAACAAGTAAATATAATATCATAGGTGGATTTAATTTTTAATGGGTTTAGTTTTAGCAAATTTTATGTTGGTTTTAAATTCTCTGGTTTGCCAATGAACGAATAAAAAGTTAAAACTTGGCAATATTTACCAGGTTTTCATTTTATGGCATTTTAGTGTTAAGGGAAAGTTAAAACCAAACACAAAAATAAGCCTAAAACAGTCCATATTATATTTTCAGTACAATACACTGTTTTTTGTTAAACTATGTGTGATAGTAGATCTGCACAATACCGTAGTCAGGGTTTTACACTTTGACCTGGTTGATATAATATGGATAGAATATGTAATCATACAAAAAAACTCTGGGTAGGTGAATGAAAACAGTAAACATGTTTAAAAACAGTAAAAACATCATTAATTTGATGATGATGTGTATATTATCTTCATTAAAAAGGTACCCAACTACATATGTTAATTTATTCACAACTATGAATATATTTACGAGTTTGTTACATTCATTCGTTGACCCCGGTAGAATATAATCCTTTCCAAAACTACATTCAATTTTATATATATATTTGACATCGTCGTAAACGATTTATTTAAGAACGAGATTCTTATTTCCCGGAATTGAGGGTGTGATGTCATTGTTTATCGTCAGTCCACTTGAATAATGTCTCAAGTTACGCTGAATAAACATACAGAAAACTACCGAGAACGTTTCTTGAAAACAAAAACAGAAGCCAGGCAAGAAAAATATGGCATACCTGTTTCTCGCTGAGAGCGGTGATTTTTGCTTGGCGGTCGTGAAGCTGCCTCTGCAGTTCGGCATTCTGTGAGGGGCACAAAAGAAGAGAACTGGTTGTTATTTACAAAACGCAATGACAAAAGAGGACGGAAAGGTCAACTTTAAAGTTCACTAAATACGAGAATTTCCTCGACAGAAACGTAGTGATGATTTCTTACCTGTGGGTCGTTTTTCATCTTAGCAACTAAAATCTGTAAAAATGAATGAAATGTTGAAAACATGAGTAAAATGTGCGGGTAATAAAAATGTTGTGCAAGTTTTATTTTTTTATTTTTAGGTGGACAAAAGGGAATGTAAATTTTATCTGATGTCTGCTTCATCGAATATGCGTACAACTCGCTCGTAATCACTCTCATTGCAAATTCAACCCGATCGCCGATATTTAATTTAAGCATCACCGTTGTATATATGATATTATTTATGTGGTACGACATGGAAGCCTCCCAAGCAAATATGTGACGAAATAATCAGGAAAACTTTCATTTTCAAGGCGATCGCGGCATATAAAAAATAAAAAATACAGGCCACCATTTCCAGTGGGCCACATAACTTATTTTTCACCATTCATTCTCAACAAGGCAAAAAATACAACTTGCTACCTGATGACTCTGTATCTCCTTTCTCAGCTGCGATTGCAGACTCTCTAGCTCCGTGTTGTTCATCTTCATGGGTAACACTTCCGAGTCGATGAACTCGAAATGTGTTAAAAAAATCCAAGTTTTGGTAAAAATTGAACACCGGGAATCTCTGGAGTGAAGCAAAGTAATGTTACAGACAGTGCAAAGACCGCAGCACAATCTTGCGCCAAACTTTAACTTTAATTTTTAAACCTCTGTCGTGATATGTTAATTTAAAAATTATACACACGTCCCTTACCTATTTCTAGAATATTTATAAAACATAATACATGAGAAACAACTTGCAAAATAATATAAAACCTTCAATATTCTTTGGAACTATTTTATTAAGTTTATTAGCGCATTTCTACAACTTTATGCAGGGCAGAGCAGTGCCGCGCCACCGGTGTCCAAGACTAAAGTTCCCGGATGCTACGAACTGTTCACAGCTGTATTAAGGATTATTTTATTGCGCAGAGTGGTGTTTTAGTATTGTTGGCACTGAATTAGGCATTATATTTTACACTAGTTGTTACTTGTATCTACTATTTGGAAAACAAAGTTATTGTAGGTTTGTTGAATATGTGTTTTCCTGTATTAAATTATTTATCGTCATTCTACCCAGCGGACTAATTACCGCATTACGGTGGTAGGACTACTTGTGGGAAACGTGATTTTCAAAATGGCGGCCTCCATGAAACTTTGAGTTTGTCACCGAGGTAAGAAATTAAGTGGGATAGTAACTTATTTCGATTTTGTGTAGTTCCGTGTGATCCAAGTAAAGAGTAATCTAACTGGAACAAGTTTGTTGCACAAACAAGTGTATTTCTGTACTCTAGAGAGAAAGATATTCCATTAACCTTGTCATCCATGTGATATGTTGACAGTGCTGTCATCATCGACATGACGTTGTAACCTGTCATTCATTGTGACTAGAACTTTTTAACATTTCTGTTGTGTAAGAACGACATATCAAGCGGTTGTTTGTTGTGACATTTTTTCATAAAACTTTACTTGAGAGAGCCAGAAAATAGTAAACTCGAAAACAAATAACACTACAAAATTGTACACATAAAACTTCAGACCACAGCA